CAAATTTGACCTGTGAGAAAGATGTCACCAGCATTGTAGCCACAAGGTAAGACCACAGGTAGCTAGACAGGTAACCCCATTACTAAGGAAAATGCTGCAAACTGATGTCAGGGTTTTCAAATTCTACCCGTTTCTTCTAGATGTAACAACAACTCAGCATGTGTTATTCAGTCATCCATCGACCTCGCTGGAGACCCCTGTCCTGGCACCAAAAAATACCTGTTTGCTACGTACCAATGTGTCTGAGGGGTAAGGCACACACACACACACACGCACACAAATATACCACTAAACAAGGAGACATGCTAAGAATGTCCAACAGAAGTCTGTGCTAGATGTCAACATAGTCTGTATGAAAGAATTTGCAACATCTTTTTTTGTCTTCTGTATGTTGAATTTGGACATCCATCAGACATCTTCACCAGGTTATAAATTCAATTTTTCAACATTTTCTCATTTCAGGCATTCAAACAGCCCATGTGGAAACTACAAACACAAAAACAAACAGAAAACCAAAAAGATCTTTATTAGCAAGACCCAGATGAACTGCCTTAAGCAATGTTACTTCAACCTTTTTGGACATGCACTGTCACCCTGAAATTATCTAGATATTACCCAGGGGAGCTGGGTAATATGGGAGAACGCAAATGTCTGAGTCTGAGCAGACTTCACCCTGCCAGCTCTCAAGTGCAAAGTCCACCTGAAGTCTGAGTCCATGTGTAATTACAGCAGCACAAAGTATTTACTCCAAGCTAGTGGGCATGTGGGTACCCTTCTATTGTGTCACTGATGTAAAAATGGAAGGCTGCATTCACATTGCGTTTCAAAGGTGTGAAAAACCACAAAGCACCCCATTCATTTCTATGGTGGATTGTGTTCACCACACCGCAGGGGGCTCCAGCAAAACAATGCAGCCCAATGCAGCCGAAAAGTTAGATCTGGGTCAATTTTTTCTGCAATGCACGGTGACACATTCCAGCAAGATGCTGCGTTGACTAATCACATAATGTGGGACGGTTGGAACACAAACACCCATGGGAAGAAGATTCCTTGTTTTCCATGTTAGCATAAGCAGTCAATGATATTCATTCTCAAATCTGGTCCAGAGTTAAAAATGAACCATAATGACACATCATGCATTTTTGTTAGTTACTGGATGTTAAACAGTGTTTTTTATGTATCCATGCAGACACACTGGTGCTGAAGTAGTGTACATTAACAGCATGCCTAACCAAAACATAATGGAAACTGGCGAGCTGGATTAATGATCTAATCTAATCTAATCCAATCCAATCTAACATTTTCATAGCTCTGTGTGTTTTACAGAGCTCAAAGGTGTCACTCCAGCAGGAAGAAGACTTTGGCATCTTTCTACAAACT